GGAGATGCTTTTGAAAATGTCCCCAACAAAGGGGTTTTTTTTTTAATTTTATTAAAATAAACAAACAAACATACTTTCATACAGCAAGTACTGGCAATGTGTACTAATGTTTTTCCCACAAGTACATTTATAAAAGTGTGGAGTAGCACAAAGCTGCTTCAGGGCTGTTCAGCAGTTCCATCACTGTAAGAATACCTGTATGATAGTTGAATGATGGTGAGGATTTGGGCGCCTCTGATAATACTGTTGCGTCTACGCTTAAATTTTGTTAAAGTTATCGCAACTAATTTATAATTGTGGTTGATAGGTCTGTGAGGATGCCAAAGGCCTGGAGAAAGCAGGTGCTTAAAATGGCTTAGTCTGTCAAGGTCTGTGTGTTGCAGGATTCTTTACAGCAACAATGATGAGAGGAGGTAATGCACAATTGTTAACAGAAAGATGGAGGTTTTCATAGAATCAACAGCTAAAGATTACGGGATATCTGCTTAAAGGTTCTTTATTGAAGCAGTTCTATAGAGAGCTATTGGACAAACCTCAGAGTCTGCAAAAAAACCTGACTGTTTCTGAGTTGTTGAGATTCTAGCTATTCTTCTGCACCCACTGAACCAAATAATTTGTGTTGGGGTTGAACTCCAGGATTTGGCTTTTCAGTTGTCGCATTGATTATAAGTACATAACAATTTTATCAAACATTTTTAAGAGTGACAGGTTACTCAGACTTCAGTATTGGTTTACCGGATTTACCGGATTTCAGTCTTTACCAGATTTTCATATTGTTCGCTCATTATCTTCAAATCAGCGCAGGATTTGAAGTTGGCAGTATGGCAGTATTTAGTTTGTCATACCAGAAGTACGCTTCAAGTTGCTTATAAGGATTTTTTCTTCCTTTTAGCTGATGACTACTGATGTTGACAACTTCAAAAGGCATTTTTTTTAAATTCTTCCCACACATTTGGCTGTCATTTAGAGGTGTTGGGAAGTGCAAGAATAGCATTCAGTAACATCTGAATTCCATTCCTTTTTCTCATCTCAGTCAGCTTTAGCTGTATCTTGAAGGACTCTACATGGAACGCTAAGCCCTTTTTTCTGAGAAGTTACGCTGGTTCTCACAGTGTTCAAAGGTATCAGTACTTGCTTATAGACAGTCACTTCCAATGAGTATGACACCAAGCTCTTCATTGTTGCAACAGGTTTTGTTTTGGGGGAAGAAGAGGGAAGCAAAGGAGCAGCTCCACATTTTCTGTTGTCTTGTCGTCTTAATTTTTTTGTAGGGTTGCTGGAGCTCTGTGTCTGACTTTCACACTCTGTATATTTTCTTGGCAATATCAGTAAGAAACCCATGCATGCAAAAAAACCCATAATTCTAACAAGAATCTTGTAGTTGGACTGAAAAGAAACTGAGATAGTTTCCAAGGACCAGTAGGGAGGGATTAAAGGGTTATATGTCTGCAAGATCAGCCAGCAGAGAGGAAGGCGTTGTCATACGTCAGTAGGGATGCTCTAGAAAGAATGTGTTTCTGGCTAGGACAGCCTCAGAATGGTGAAGGTTAAGATAGATTGTGATGAGTAACTGCTTTCTTTTAGTGATGAATTATTACTGGAGGAGTGTTTATGCTACTACAGTTTCCACACAGACCTTGTGCATGTGGAGGAGAGTCAACAGAGGGCTTACACTACTCAGGAGAATGGCTTAATTACGTGTATCAAGTCAGGTGCGCTTTTTTTTTTTTTTCCCTATGAGCAAAAAAAATGCTGAAAAGGGATTTTGTTTTTTCGTGAAATGAGGTGATAGAGTCTGGCAGCAATGTGAATACTCGAAATGGATGTGGGAATGTGTTTGCATCCCTTTCTTAAATTCTCTTCTGTGACAGAAAAGAGCATGAAGTCAATACTGTCTGTCCTACTGCAGCCCTTACCCAACACCTTACCTTCAGGTGTTGTGAAAACGTCTCTATTCCACATGACTTCTTTCTGCATTAAAGGTGCTTTTTATCTGAATGGAAGTAGGGCTTATGTGATTATTAGGAGGCCAACATGTGTCATAAGACCCAATCTGTGAACCCACAGTTTACACAGTGATAGCTGACTTACGTGCGGACTCTAATACATACATGTTATAGGTAAACAGGTGCAAATGAATACAGCTGTAAAGTCAAGCTTATTATGAAGAAAAACTTTAGCATTACTTGAAACGTAGTAAAATCTAATGAAAGATGAAAAACTTAGTATTATTGAAACAAACCTTCAGTTGAATTGGTTTGAGAGACAGCAAATCCTGCAAATACCTTTCAGATAACTACCAGATCAGATGAAAGTATTAATTTTTTTTCTGCAGATCATCTAATACAAGAAGTGAGATTGTGGGCTTTATTTTTATTAAGATTCCTTGAGAGGGGAAAATGGGAAGGGAGTGCTTTGTATTTTTCTTAGGCTTCTGACATTATAGATTTCCTTCATGGGGAGCATGTGGCATAAAGGAGCACATCATCATTGCTAACAGAGAGATGAGATTCAGGAGTTAGTTTTGTGATCTAGTTATTTGGTTAGTTCCTAGTTATTTGGGCTAACTGCTTAATCTATTTTTCTGCATATAATGTGGCAGCGTTATGGTGGAATCAAATGACAGGAAAATACAGTAGTTAATCTTCACTATTAGTTACTGCACATCAATGAAAGTTACCGTTCCTTGCAAACAGCTTCAAAACATTTGCACAAAGATGAAGACTTGGACAACAAGGGGAGGTGGGGAGAGAGGGGTCGATCTGGTAGGAGAAAGGTATCTGAGGTGAATAGGGCTACAACATGAACATCTTTATGTATAACCTGTGCTTGTGGTGAATTGCAGGGTTTCCTACATTTCGTTGTGTAACAGCCTGCCAGATTAAATATTATAGTGCTTGTGAAGAGATTTGTTACACCATCCATTTCCTAAAGCCAAAATTTTCAAAGCACTTTAGTCCTGTGGATGATGAAGGAAATGCAGGTCACTTTTTTCCCCTCTCTCTTCTGGTTTTCCTGCTTTGCATAGCAGTAAATAGACTGTATTGTCTTAAAGCTTTTCTACCTCTTTCATTTGGCTTTGGCTTGATCTGTCCTAAAGATCTTTTGTACCCGACGGTGGGAACAGTGGAGTCTGCAGCACGGCTAGTCTGCGGGAGTGGGGTTTGTAAATGCAGACTGTAACAAAACGTGCTTACTGCCCAAGTAAGCAAGTAAACTAGTCGGTAGCCTTATTGCCCAGGTTCATTCTTTTGGAGTATGTTGCATATGCAGTGCTGGTAGACCCTTTGTTCTGAAAGATTCCACAGGCAAGCGAAGAACTAAACTGCAAGGTTTTTCAGAAGCGTTTGGTACTGGCACAACTTCCCACAGATCATTTGAATGTGAGTTCCGCCATGCTTCATGACTTTGCTGGATGATTAGAATGGGATTCTTTTCCCAGTCACATTGCAAAGTGTTGAGAAAGAAAACTTTTTGCTTTATCGTCTTCCTCTGTGCTTCACCCCCGTTTTCTCTGATATGCTTGTACGTATTTTATGTACATACAGTTACCAAGCTGCCCCTTCTTTGTATATTGGCTAGGAAAAAGTTTCAGATGGTCCAAATTCTATCTCCATTGAATCTGGCAGCATTGTTGTTGTTATTTTTTTAAACTAAGCTGGGAATGGAACTTGACCTGTGATAAATACTGGGATAATGTGAAATAGCAATGCATGATACAGCCTGAACAGCTGAGCACCATCATTTATGGGCAGGGCTAGGAAGGGGGAGGGCTCTGTTTTGCCTCTGTGTAGGTATTCTGGATTAAAAGCTGTTAGGCAACTAGACTAAAAACCGAGTATAAAATAATAACTTAGTTTCAGGTGATACACAATTACATTCAAACTAACACAGGGAATTTAGAGACTGTATTCTGGGTTGGTCGATTCCAGTGTAACCCAATATCTATATATCTGAAGCTGTTTTCCGGTGTTACATCATCATAACAACTTCCACCAAACAGGATTCTTTTCTAAATTTGTGGGGCCTATGTTGTCTGCGTGGCAAACTTGATTGCTATAACAAGCTCCTGATCCCTCTGTAAGTCTGCAAGGTTTTCATTATGCCTGTTACATATTTGTGTTTAAGGCAGCACCATGTGTGTCATCCCAGGTTCTGTAGAAAGCGTTCAGACATGTACTGCAAACTCTGTTAACCTGCTAGTGCTCAGACAAAACCAAAACCTTTGAAAATATATGTTCATTTTTATTTCTATTTGTGGAAAGAGTTGTAATTGATCACAGGGCTCTTCACTTAGGCTTCTGTGCCCTTTGCCATCTGTATGTATACAAAACCTGCAAAGAGATCTTTTCTTTTTAATATAGGGCAATTCCTTGATTTATCTGGCTTCCAAATAATTGTAATGTTGAAATTCTGGTAATTTTGAGAACTTTTTAAAAGAGTGCAAGAACCATATTTATTTTTCCAAATGTAAAATAAAGTTCTGCAATTGCAAATCTATGAATTCTTTGCTTTGTTTATATAACAGATGAATGCTTTCTATTTTCTCGTTTTAGCAATGCCTTCTCAATGCTATCGGTAGCAGTAGCTTAAATGAGAAAACATACAAGCAAAGAAATAAATTTAGAAGCCATTGGGAGAGCTCTCTTAAATTTATTTCAAGTGTTTTAGGTGGTATATAAGCATTTTCAGCCATCTGTTGAAATTTCAAGATTGTTTTTGCTTTGCTTAAAACTGTATTGTTAACTTTGTTTCCCAAATTAATGACTAGTGGCTCCACTACTTGTCCTGCTAAAAGAAATCAGTGATTTATATATTTGTTAAAAGTTAGATAGCATAGGCCATCTAGCTATAACACACAGTTTTTAATGAGGATTTTAACATGACCTTGCTCATATGAATGCATCTCTTCGGTATGAGATTATATTTGGACTCACCATTTGTTTTTTTCTTTGTTTTTGTGTCCTTTCTTCCTCCCTCCTTGCCCTATTTCCTTACAGAGATCAGAATATTCTGGATCCTGCTTTGGAATATGTTAAGGTAAGGTACCATTACTTACCCTCAAAATATTTTATTCAGTATATAACCAGCACTGCCAGAGCATTTCCAGTCATTTGTAGTTAAATAGTGCTTCGTCTATCTTTTGCTACTGAAAAACTAAATATATATGTCAGACTATTTTCTTCATGCTTCAGTGAAATACAATGTGGGCATTGTCCTTTGGGGGTAGGTTGCATTTTTATATTGGGGCCTCTTTTCAGTTACTTGGAGACTACCTATGATCTTGCCTTTGTTAACAGAGTAAAAGAATGCCTATTTCTTGCTTATGGATTTCTGGGGAAGTAAAGGAACACATCTGAAAAGATCATAAAAATGTCAGATTTAGGTTTATGGTTTTAGCAGTATACTTACTAACACTACAGTTAAAAATCCACTTCTGGTCCAAAAAGTAGCTGGAATCCTGGCAAAATTGTAAGTTCTCTTTTCCTTTTGTATAAGATCAGAGTGGTGAAAAAAATACATAAATGAGTATTTTGTTAGAGTAAATAAAAAATACTCTGGAGCATTCTTAAATTTTATTCAAAAATCAGTCCTGGATTGGCAATATAGAAACTTTGGAAGAAACTATAGGGATGTGATTCTGTACTGAGATTCTCTTGCAGTGCTGTAATTTCCACTGAATTAGTACCTTTCAGCATGTTTCATTTAAGTGAATATTATTTCTCAGAACCTTGAAAGAATCTGGCTTCTATGTCACGTCTCTCAACAATGGGCTGCTTTAGTTGTTGGGCTTTGTTCCCTGTATTTTAGAAGACCGTAATCTTCTGAAAAGTTTCTGATAAACACAGGTTATCCTCAAACGTGGGATATTTCTGTAGCTATTCATGTAGGCAGCCTGAATTTTTTTCAGACACCTGAATTTCTGCTTCAGGTTAGAGTTTGGGTGAGGAAGAGACTGAGGAGAGCCAGTGAACTGGGTTCTGCTGCTAGAATTCCCTCTGTGGGTGTTCGTAGTTGAAGGAAATGGAGAGGTGCCCAGGTTAGGCTTCAGGTTGATCAAAGAAGTAAACTAGGAGAAAGTAATGCAGTGTTGAGAGGGGACTGCCAAAGGAAAGTGCCGAGAATTAATTTGCCTGAAGTGTGGAGGGGTCTTCTGCTGGACTTTCTATCTAGGGCTGGGGTGGAGGTAGGAATGAGGGTTTGGAAGAAGAGAAGGGGAAGAGCAGAACGCGAAGGTCCATGGAAAAGGGGCTGCCAGAGGACTCTGAGGACTGCTGCTGGAATTCCACTCTGAACAGTTAGCTCAGTGTTGCAAAGTCCCTGGCCTCAATCCCAGGCTAAAGCTGGGATATAGTAAAGTAGCAGAGACAGAGAAGGCCAAGAGCCTTCTGAAGAGTACTGTAGAAGAGCGGAAGCCAAAGGCAACAAAGTGGTGGACGTGTTAATTGCTCTATTTAATTTACAGGGTATCTTGCACTATGCTGTACAGAGTACGTTGTTCCAGTTTTAATAATATGGCCAAGTAGAAGGCAGAGGTTTCATGTGCCAATTCATCAATATGTGTGTCTTGTCTTGTTGCAGCAAGTTCTGTGTTATAAATGTGGTTTCTGATCTTTTCAACTTTTCTAGTAGAAGCTTGTCTTGGACTCTTGTCAATAGCAGTGGTGCTAAGCTTAGTTATTAAAACTTTGATGTTGGGGAGGAAAGCCTGGGGAGAAGAGACTTATGAGGGAGAATACAAGGGTTACAATCCACTTCTTTTCTCCTTCCTCTTTCGGTTTTTCCTGTATATATCCCTACTTTTAGTGAACTGTGAGTTTGGTCTCCTGTTCAGTAGTATTACAGCAGGAATTCTAGACAAGAAATCTTAAACTACAACTTTGAAAAATACGCAGAAATTGCTTTCTAATAAATACAGCCCCCCAAAACATTTTTTGGCTGTAAAAGCCCAGTTTGCTAACAAAACTGACTCCAGAAATGTATTCTTACACAAAAAGTGATCATTAATGCCACACAAAGGAGGACTCTCATCAATAATTTGTTACCAGTTTACTATGACTATAAAAGATGTGCCTGAATTCGTAACAAGATGATCTTGGAACCCCTTTAGTTGGCTTAAGTTTCAGCAAGTATGTGTTCATTGTCTTTTGTAACTTACCTTATGGTAACTATTATATTAATGTTTATAAATTTTCCAGTTCCTTGAATAAATTATGATGGCAGTGTTAAGTCGGGTATAAACTGCAGAACACTGACCTACCCGAATTACAAAGCTGAACGAAGACATTTCTGTAGCATCTCACTACGCTTGTACCAACATTGCCATTTGCACAAGTCTATTTGACGTATAATGTGTGCGTATTTTGTTTGAGCAAGCAGGGTTGGTATCATTTGGGTAGGCTTTGGCAGATGTTGCTTAGGTGGTGAAAAAAATACCTTTAAATGAAGAAGGGATAGTAGGAGAAGAGGGAGAAAACCACAAGAACACTGTTGATGGGAATCCTGTTTTGCTGATTCAGGATACCAAAGTTTTGAGAGACGGATTCATATTTCTGATGCACAGGAAAATGTAGTTAGTATTGTCTCTAGGCAGAGAAGTGTTGATTGGCTGACTGAAAATGCATATAAACTTGAGTATTAAGCATGTATGATGTATCAAACATGCATCAAAACTTAGAACAAGCCAATTGTACACAAAGTCTTGATACTGGTTCTTGTTTCTCTCATCTTGCGGTTCAGACTGTAAAGAGAAGGGAGACTTTGGATTAATTTGCCTTGCAAAAAATGGCATTGCCTTGAAAGTAGTACATGGCACAAATGTAAGCGGTGTTAGCGTAGTCTGGCTGCTGGTGATTTCACCCAAGAGTTACAGTCCCAAGCAGAGCGTACTGTGTCAGGGCCCTGAGGGCGCTAATTGGTCTTAAGTGTCCTGACCAGCCTCACGTAGGACCTCCACCCGCACCCGCTGAGCAAGGGCTCCATCTCAGCTCAGACTGGAGCCTTCAGGCGTGCCTGCCCCCAGCCCTGTTCCTCAAGTGCTGTGTGGGAAGCCCTGTGTGGACCTTGGACCAGCCTCTCGCCCTGTCTTGCCTGAGGCTCGCTGGACTGTGATAGGACCTGTTGGTCTCGTCACCCTGCTCGGCTTGCTTGCACCTTGGTGCTGTGGGACTGCACCTTGCTGGGGAGCGCGTTGCCCACCCTGTGCTCCCGGCTCGCCTCCCCTTAGGGAGCAGCCCCACTCTTGCTGCTGCCTGACATGCTAATTGTAGCTGGCTGGTTTGAAAGGTCCAATACGGTAACGATAGGACAAGAGGAAATGGGCTCAAGCTGCGCCAGGGGACGTTTAGATTGGATATGAGGAAAAATTTCTTCTCGGAAAGGGTAGTCAAGCGTTGGAACAGGCTGCCCAGAGAGGTGGTGGGGTCACCATCCCTGGAAGGGTTCAAAAAACGGGCAGATGTGGAACTTTGGGACATGGTTTAGTGGGCATGGTGGCGTTGGGTTGATGGTTGGAATGATGATCTTAGACGTCCTTTCCAATCATAATGATTCCTAGTTTTTACTTTCATTAGAAATGATCCGGCCACCAAGCCAGGAGGCGTGGGGTTGCTACTCTCCCCTGAACTGGTTTAGCGGTGGACTTGGCAATGTTAGGTGTTGGACTGGATGATCTTAAAGGTCTTCTCCAACCTAAACGATTCTACGATCAAATGTGTGCCATCCTCATAACTGATCCACTTGATCAGGCTGCACAGGCATACCTAGTCTCAACTCCAAGACAAGCAGCTAGTTTTAAACTAGCTAGATTTAAAAAGTAATTTTAAAAAGGGAAGGTGGGCACAGAGCTGATCCTGCAGCTTCACGGTTGCAAATTAGCACTGTTTCTTGCAGTGATGCAAACATGCTGCTTGAGTTTCGTGTGAGTCCCGTAAGAAAGATAATTAATACTTGTTCAGAATCTGTTCCTGCTGGGGAGCGATCAAGATCTCTTCGCAATTGGCCCCTACTGTAAATAGAATGTGGAGACTGTGTTCAGATATGAGGAAAAGTAACACAGCTATTTTTTTGATTTGGCGTGCTCTGTTTCACAGTGAAAATATCATAGTGTTTATTGTGGCAGTAGTGACTACAAGCAGGCGTTGCTGTGTAGAGAGACTGAGAGTAAGCTTTGATACTGACTGTATCAATTTGCTTTTTATACAAACCTTTCCTTGCTAGAATCTGGTGACTAAAAGTAATATAAATAATTCCTTGTATTTAGGAATACTCTGGACAGAGAAAAAGCAAAATAAATTGGTTTTTCTCCTGTTTTATTCTGTTCAAGATACAAGACAGAAAGCACTGATTATAACATTAATCCTCTGAACGCGTTTTTTTAGAGAATGCTCTGTAGAGATGTACTGTGGTTTCTAATACTTGACTCTTAAGTTACAGCTCACAAATGGCAGTTTCCTGCATCCTGAATATTGATGTATTAGTTCATTCAGTATCCAGAGAGAGCTAATTATGCAAAAGCAAGTTCTAAGGAGAAGGGGAAGAAAAAAAAAGTACTGATTTGCTGGAGTCTGAAGTGTCCATATGGCTTCAACCCTTCCTTTGTCTTCCCAGCGATGCTGAACCCATGGTCACAGTTAAATGGCTCTTTCAAAAACCCTTTTATGGTAGAAGAGAAAACAGGCCAGACTGCTTTGAGTCAGGCTGCTAACCAAGTCATGAAAGAGATTTACAGACACAATAGCACGTTGTACATTCTGTGAGATTTTTACAAGTTTTATGAGCCAAATAATAGATCCATTGGTAGTCTCAGCAGGTTCTTCCCACACCCTGAGTCTGCACATCCACAGAACAGACTCCTGCAGGGAGAAAGGATCAAGTGCTGGCAGCTTTGAGTGTGTTAGAGAACTTCTTATGAGGCGTTTTGATCAAATTCATGTGAACTAAAGATAGCTTTCCGTCCCATTCCTATTCACTATAAATACTTCAGCATCTTTTAATAGAAGTCTGGGCTGTAATCATTAAGGCTGTATCAGGGTGGAAAG